CTACCCTGCTCAAAGTAATCATCCCTCCATACAAACAATCACTCCTGGAGACAGATTAAGAGTAAACAAACTCAAACAAAAGAGGGGGAAACGATGCCTGGCATGGCTGGGAGAGGCTTTAATCAATTAGATTTTTCAGTCTCCCCATGTCTCCTCACCGTGGCGCCATCGCACGGGACGCTTCCTTCTTTATTTCCTTGTTTATTTAAGGGACAGTAAACCGCACTCGCCTCGTAAATATTTAATGGTGTTTCTCCTCTCCTCCCGCCTCTATCCCTCTCTCACTCCACCCCCTCCACCTCCTCTCCCATCCCTTGCTCTGACAGGCTATATTGGCAGTGGGTGGCTGATGACAATTTTCATCTTCTTTCTGGTTGTTTGAAGCCTATCCTCCATCTCTTTTTCATGCAGTGAGCCATGTAACAAGTCAGTGAGGCTGAGGGTAGAGGACTGTCTGTGCTTTCCAGCCTATAGGGGAGGATGTTGTGGAGGACTTCCACTAGATAGCTAATTTTCTAAACATGGATGATGATAGATGCAGTTGACCCAGGGTGTTTTTGTTCTGTTCTCAGTATACAGTGTATACGGAAAGTATTCAGACCCCTTCCCCTTTTCCACATTTTATTACGTTACAGCCTTATTTTTAAATGGATTAAATAAAAAAATGTTCCTCATCTATCTACACAGAATACCCCATAATGACAAAGCAAAAACAGGTTTTTAGAAATATACAAATAAAGCAAATAATTATTTACATAAGTATTCAGACCGAAATTGAGCTCAGGTGCATCCTGTTTACATTGATCATCCTTGAGATGTTTCTACAACTTGATTGGAGTCCACCTGTGGTAAATTCAAATGATTGGACATGATTTGGAAAGGCACACACAGCAGGGACTGGGAGACTAGTCAGGATCGAGGGAAAGACGAACGGAGCAAAGTACAGAGAGATCCTTGATGAAAACCTGCTCCAGAGCGCTCAGGACCTCAGACTGGGGCGAAGGTACACCTTCCAAACGGACAACAACCCTAAGCACACAGCCAAGACAACGCAGGAGTGGCTTCGGGACAAGTCTCTGAATGTCCTTGAGTGGCCCAGCCAGAGCCCGGACTTGAACCCGATCGAACATCTCTGGAGAGACCTGAAAATAGCCGTGCAGCGACGCTCCCCATCCAACCTGACAGAGCTTGAGACGATCTGCAGAGAAGAATGGGAGAAACTCCCCAAATACAGGTGTGCCAAGCTTGTAGCTTCAAGAAAACTCAAGGCTGTAATCATTATAAGAAATCCCGCTATGCCCTCCAACAAACCATCAAACAGGCAAAGAGTCAATACAGGACTAAGATTGACTCGTACTACACCGGCTCCGACGCTCGTCGGATGTGGCAGGGTTTGCAAACTATTACAGACTACAAAGGGAAGCACAGCCGCAAGCTTCCCAGTGATACGAGCCTTCCAGATGAGCTAAATCACTTCTATGCTCGCTTCGATGCAAGCAACACTGAAGCATGCATGAGAGCATCAGCTGTTCCGGATGACTATGTGATCACGCTCTCCGTAGCCGATGTGAGTAAGACTTTTAAGCAGGTCAACATTCACAAGGCCGCAGGGCCAGACGGATTACCAGGATGTGTACACCGAGCATGCGCTGACCAACTGGCAAGTGTCTTCACTGACATTTTCAACATGTCCCTGACGGAGTCTGTAATACCAAAAAATTTCAAGCAGACCACCATAGTCCCTTTTCCCAAGAACACTAAGATAACCTGCCTAAGTGACTACCAACCCGTAGCACTCATGTCTGTAGCCATGAAGTGCTTTGAAAGTCATGGCTCACATCAACACCATTATCCCAGAAACCCTAGACCCACTCCAATTTGCATACTGCCCCAACAATCTCTACTGCAATCCACACTGTCCTTTCCCACCAGGACAAGAGGAACACCTACGTGAGAATGCTATTCATTGACTACAGCTCAGCGTTCAACACCATAGTGCCCTCAAAGCTCATCACTAAGCTAAGGACCCTGGGACTAAACACCTCCCTCTGCAACTGGATCCTGACGGGCCGCCCCCAGGTGGTAAGGGTAAGTAACAAATCAAATCAAATCAAATTGTATTGGCCACATGCGCCGAATACAACAGGTGCAGACATTACAGTGAAATGCTTACTTACAGCCCTTAACCAACAGTGCATTTATTTTTTTTAATAAAAAAAAATAATAATAATAATAATAATAATGTTGAGAAAAAAAGAGCAGAAGTAAAATAAAATAACAGTAGGGAGGATATATATACAGGGGGGTACCGGTGCAGAATCAATGTGCGGGGGCACTGGCTAGTTGAGGTAGTTGAAGTAATATGTACATGTGGGTAGAGTTAAAGTGACTATTCATAAATAATTAACAGAGTAGCAGCAGCGTAAAAGGATGGGGTGGGGGGGCAGTGCAAATAGTCTGGGTAGCCATGATTAGCTGTTCAGGAGTCTTATGGCTTGGGGGTAGAAGCTGTTGAGAAGTCTTTTGGACCTAGACTTGGCACTCCGGTACCACTTGCCGTGCGGTAGCAGAGAGAACAGTCTATGACTAGGGTGGCTGGAGTCTTTGACAATTTTGAGGGCCTTCCTCTGACACCGCCTGGTATAGAGGTCCTGGATGGCAGGAAGCTTGGCCCCAGTGATGTACTGGGCCGTATGCACTACCCTCTGTAGTGCCTTGCGGTCGGAGGCCAAGCAGTTTCCATCCCGTAGCAGTTGCCACGCTGATCCTCAACACGGGGGCCCCTCAGGGGTGCGTGTTCAGTCCCCTCCTGTACTCCCTGTTCACTCATGACTGCATGGCCAGGCATGACTCCAACACCATCATTAAGTTTGCCGACGACACAACAGTTGTAGGCCTGATCACCAACAACAATGAGACAGCCTATAGGGAGGAGGTCAGAGAGCTGGCCGTGTGGTGCCAGGATAACAACCTCTCCCTCAACGTGATCAAGACAAAGGAGATGATTGTGGACTACAGGAAAAAAAAGAGGACTGAGCACGCCCCCATTCTCATCGACAGGGCTGTAGTGGAACAGGTTGAGAGCTTCAAGTTCTTTGGTGTCCACATCACCAACAAACTATCATGGTCCAAACACACCAAGACAGTCGTGAAGAGGGCACGACAAAGCCTATTCCCCCACTCAGGAGACTGAAAAGATTTGGCATGGGTCCTCAGATCCTCAAAACGTTATTCAGCTGCACCATCGAAATCATCCTGACTGGTTGCATCACCGCCTGGTATGGCAACTGCTCGGCCTCCGACTGCAAGGCACTACAGAGGGTAGTGCGTACGGCCCAGTACATCACTGGGGCCAAGCTTGCTGCCATCCAGGACCTCTATACCAGGCGGTGTCAGAGGAAGGCCCTAAAAATTGTCAAAGACTCCAGCCACCCTAGTCATAGACTGTTCTCTCTGCTACAGCACGGCAAGCGGTACCGAAGCGCCAAGTCTAGGTCCAAAAGGCTTCTTAACAGCTTCTACCCCCAAGCCATGGCTATCCGGACTATTTGCTGTCCTTGATGATCTTTTTGGCCTTCCTGTGTCATCAGGTACTGTAGGTGTCCTGGAGGGCAGGTAGTTTGCCCCCGGTAATGCATTCGGCAGACCGCACTACCCTCTGGAGAGCCCTGTGGTTGCAGGCGGTGCAGTTGCCATACCAGGTGGTGATACAGCCTGACAGGATGCTCTCAATTGTCCATCTGTAAAAGTTTGTGAGGGTTTTAGGTGCCAAGCCAAATTTATTCAGCCTCCTGAGGTTGAAGAGGCTCTGTTGCACCTTCTTCACCACACTGTCTGAATCGGTGGACCATTTCAGTTTGTCAGTGATGTGTACGCCAAGGAACTTAAAGCTTTCCACCTTCTCCACTGCGGCCCCGTCGATGTGGATAGGGGGGTGCACCCTCTGCTGTTTCCTGAAGTCCACGATCATCTCCTTTGTTTTGTTGACGTTGAGTGAGAGGTTATTTTCCTGGCACCACACTCCCAGAGCCCTCACCTCCTTCCTGTAGGCTGTCTCGTCATTATTGGTAATCAAGCCTACTACTGCTGTGTCATCTGCAAACTTGATGATTGAGTTGGAGGCATGCTTGGCCACATAGTCATGGGTGAACGCACCCTTGAGGGGCCCCGATGTTGAGGATCAGCGAAGTGGAGATGTTGTTTCCTACCTTCACCACCTGGGGGTGGCCCGTCAGGAAGTCCAGGACCCAGTTGCACAGGGCGGGGTTCAGACCCAGGGCCGCGAGCTTATTGATGAGCTTGGAGGGTACTATGGTGTTGAATGCTAAGCTATAGTCAATGAACAGCATTCTTACATAGGTATTCCTCTTGTCCAGATGGGATAGGGCAGTGTGCAGTGTGATGGCAATTGCATCGTCTGTGGATCTATTGGGGCGGTAAGCAAATTGAAGTGGGTCTAGGGTGACAGGTAAGGTAGAGGTGATATGATCCTTGACTATCTATGCATAGTCACTTTAACTCTACCCACATGTACATATTACCTCATTTACATCGACTAACCGGTGCCCCCGCACATTGACTCTGTACCAGTACCCCCTGTAAATAGCCTCCCTACTGTTATTTTATTTTACTGCTGCTCTTAAATTATTATTATTTATTTTTTACTTAACACGTTTTTCTTAAAACTGCATTGTTGGTTAAGGGCTTGTAAGTAAGTATTTCACTCGGCGCATGTGGCAAATATAATTTTATTTGATTTGGATTTGATTTGTCCAAAAGTAACAAGTTAGGTTAATTGTACAGGCCATTGACTCAGGGCACATTCTAGACAAGAGGCTCTTGTTAGGATAATTGTGCCTTATTTTGTGAATAGTTTCTTAAAATAGATTTCCACATGGTCATTGCTCACACTAACAACTTTAATATTTCTCATTCTCAAGGACTGAAGCAAGACAAAGCACAAATGCTATTCTGAATCATCATCCATCCATCCATCTATATTACGTTTTAGAGAGGTTGAAGACTTGCTGGATATCCCCACTCAAAATCTGGTATGTGATTGGGTCATTCTCTCTGTCTGTGGCCTATAAAAAAACAACAAGAACAGAAGATAGAAATCAAGCAAGCGTTTACTTCCACTGCCAACACATAAATTATTAAAATCTATTAAATCATATGATATTACATCTGATAATCCATACTGGCTGGTTTAGTAATTGCTGTTTGCTAAACTCAAAATCTTCCATGATCTTCGCTTGAGTAATCACACTGCCCTCTCCTGGCCTCCATCGATCTAGTTATGTGACCTTTGACCCCTGCTGTGTGCCGCTCACCTGTAGGTTGAGCAGGATGGCTCCAATCCTCATGGCCTCGCTGACCTCCAGGCTGTAGGTGAAGAGGGGGAAGCGTGGGGGGCTCTGGTTGTTGGGGGGCAGCACCTCAATGTACACCGTGGTGATAGAGCTCCTGGAGGGGTGGGGGGCAACGAGAGGGCGGAAGGAAAGGTAATGGTTACATACACTGGTGTGGAGGTCATTTTTGGGGGCTTGCAGAATAGAATACAAAAGGGTATAGTAGAATGGAATGGTATAGAGTAGAGTATTTGATGTCCCCCAGAAGGACATTCTTTGCTCAGTTACATTCACATATATTGGCACCCTTGCACTTTACAGTACAGTGGAATGCAACAGAACATCCGGTTTTCAGGTTCAATGGCTACTGCAGCCTGTAGGCACCTGCCAATTACCACAGGTGAGAAAAATTACACAGTAAACAAGAATCACCTGTCTCACCTGTCTCAAATTCATTTCAATTCTGAATAATTTAGTCTAGGCCATTTTTTGACAAAAATTTTTCTAGGTCCTGTGCAGTTGTTAATCAAACATATACACGTGTGAACACCAACATTTTTCCATTTCAACTTCTTGAAGAAATTGTGAATCGTGCAAGAGTACCAATATATTAGAGCGCAACTGTAATAGTACAGTGGTGATTTATCAGGGAATTTAAGGTTGTCATGAGTTTCCTGACTGCCAAAAAGGACATCCTGCTTAAAGAGGCTGATAAAGGTAGGTGAACAAGCCAATGAGGAGGGAGCTGTGCCCTCATATACAGTAGGCTAAATATAGATGTTGTATACAGCATATTGGAAGCCCTTACAGAAACAAGGAGCTATCGTGAAGAAAGTACTTCAGTTTCCAACCGGCAGCCTAAATGTGTTATCTTGAAAAAGCTGCTGAACAGTCTGCGTACAGAGGCACTGTTTGCCAAGTCCAATAGATTTCTGTTTGCACAGTCAGATCCAGTCATGGCAAACTATCTTCAGCAAAACCCATTCTACTGCAGGTATCACCTCTGTGTTCAAACCTCAAATACTGCTGAGAACTTTGAGCCTTAGCTAAGATAGTGCGTATAAACTTTCAGAAGAGTGTGCTAGTCACTTGCTTCTTGGCAACAAGAATATGAGGCAATAATTACAGATAAGGCATCACACCATTATCAAAAAGATAGTTCAAAATGAAGAGAAATTCATGACAAAGATGTGTTTCTAATGTCTGTAAGAATGAGAGGCCATCTGATACTTGATTCTAAACAGTTTGTCTCAACGGTCAGTCAAATATGTCTTCATACAGCCTCTTACCATTCACAACTTCAATCACAGCAGATACATGAATCAATACGCACATTCAATAAAGAATACAATGATTATATATGCATGAATTGAATAGACCTACAAGTGACTGTACAGTAGGAATAAACAATCAGATGGAACAACGACTGAATGAGATGGATGAATACATGTATGAAGTCCTGACTTAATGAAGGAATAATTGAATACTTGATTAACTGAAGAAGTATGAAAAATGAAAAACTGAGTAAGAAACAAGATTTTACATCAAACATCACCTAAATAATGCATGTATATTAATGTGGAGATCCAAGGGATACAGTCCTTTTAATAAACACATTAATAAATGAAAGGTGTGATTGAGCAAAAGAAAGGCTGAAAGAACGAATAGATAAAAATGAATGGATGAAATGAATGTACCTTCTCTGGATATCTGGTGCGTTGTCCGCAGCCTTCACTGTAAGGGCGTAAGAAAGGCCCACGCTAAGGGCTATCCCGGGTGCGATGGTGATTCGTCCAGTGCGGTTATTAATGATGAAAACACCCTGCGCTCCGGCAAGGATCTCATAGGTCACCAGACCGTTTAACCCCTCATCCGCATCCAATGCCGTCAGCTGAGAGAGAGAGGGAGAGCGAGAGGGAGAGGGAGAGTCAGTGTGAGAGTGGAAGAATTCAGTGTATCTCAGCAGGGTGTGGCCCCTAAAATCAACATTCAAAGCCGCTAACTATTCAATTTACTGAACTGAGGCAGGGGGGCAATAGTGATTTGTGGGAGGGCCCCACCTGTCTTTGTAATGTTATGTGTACAGGACCGGCATACAATGAGTGACATGTACCAGACGGTGCTCTTGTAAGCTGTGTGTATTAGTGATGAGCGGGTTGATTCATAACCTGCAGACCTCGCGGTTCTATCCGCGGGCGGATGGGTTTAGGGTCATTAAATATTGTGTGGCTGAAGGGCGGGTGGGTGACTGACGGGTTGAATAAAGAGAAACAATACCTTAAACAATCCATCAATGTATAATTATTGTGCCAAATGCATCCTAAAAAAATATTGCGCCTCTGGAATAATGGACATTCTTGGGTATTAAATACATAACCAACATTCTGTAGTAATACTAGTCCCGTGCGAATAGGGCTATAGCCTTAATAATAACTCCTGCAGAATTAAGCATTTCTTGCAGTAAAATTATACACCAAATATAGGCAACATTTGGACTTGGGAACAAGAGTGGAGAAATATGATTTATTTCTGCATCTTGAGAGAATGCAATGCTCAGTTAGATACCATCTGTAGAGGTGCTGTCTTCATCATAAAAGCATCATAAAGCTGATAGTATTTGAACCACATAAAATATACATCCAAGCCGACCTGAAATCTTTTCAGAAACACATTGGGTCATTTTCACAGCTTTCTTGTTCCTTACAACCAGTCAAACAGATTTTTTTGTTGCTTTATTGTATTTTCTCCCCAGTCCCTAAACATCTTCACCGATGTCAACTAGATTGAAGCATTCAATCTGTCGATCTGTTACATCATTCTGTTGAGTAAGGATTTATTCTTCTAGGACAACATATAATGACAAAAGAGAAGCTACATGTATCTAATTATAGTTGAAGTTGACTAACAAATAACCTACCAAAATGTCAGAAATTATAAGCAGAAACATATCTAAATGAGGCAAAAATAATAATCCTGCACCCCCTGTCAAAAAATTGTTCTGCAGTCTTTGACTGTAGCCTATAGCACATTTTCTATATTTGCGGGTTAGGGTTGGATGCCCGGGTCAGATTTTCACTTTATCACATATAGTCAGGTGGTTGCAGATGGGTTATTAGCAATTGCGGGCGGGTGAACAAACAGCTGACCTGCGCACCACTAGTGTGTATACAGAACTACTGACCATTTCTAACTGCTACAGTAAACAACTTATCCTCCCTCCTAAAATACTGATGCTAATTGAGTGAGAATCTATGGGCTCTATTTTAACAAATCTAACGCAAGGGTAAATCTAAGCACAGGTGGTAGCGCTATAGGTTCAGGGGTGTGTCAGAAATAGTTTTGCTATTTTCACTATCACAATTATCTGCGCACTTGCTGGCGTTGGGGCGAAAGGTCTGGATTTTGATGAATAAACAAGTTGTGGGTGTGTCGAGACTTGTCCCCTTACTGGCCAATCAGAACGTGCTCCAAGGTGAAATATGTGGTTGCTTCAAGTTGTGTATTTACTGACTTTTTATGTATTGCCTTGTAATCAACTCCAATTCCAATGTAAGTCCGTTAAAGTTTGTTAAATGGCTTACAGAAACGACATAACAAAATGTAGACCTACAGAATCTTTGCCAAATATGTTAACTTGAACCCATTTGCAGTCCACATTGTTCTAGTAATTGCATGGCTTCAATAGCATTCACACTGATATAGGGGCAAGGCCTACTGTGAATTGCATTAGGGCTGAGCATGGACATGCCAAACATTGTCAATAAGCAAGATTAAATGCATTATTGATAAGGCCTAAACAGAGAACAAATAAACAAAACGAAACAACAACTTGTTTTAAATAGACGGCACACTTACAGGCACCATAATTTAATCCAAACTTTTCACAATAGCTGGACAAATATCCAATATAAAGAGAAAGGGAGCATTTCCACTCACTGTTATACTGCTCTCAAATAGGCATATGTTTTATGAATATAATTGGAACCATCTTACAGATCAGATCGCATTCACACATCTCCAGAAGTTGCATTGCAAACGCGGCACGGACGTTGTCATAATAAAACCAGGAAGGTGAATCATTCTAATAAGTTTGGTTGTAATCAAAATAAATAAAAACAAGCCATTTTTACAGGTTACAGATAACTTCTAAATACAAGGTTCACCAGTATTCACAGAGGTTCTCATCTCTCGTTTTATGATGGGAATGGACATGTAACCTACATCATGGAGGGGGTTTTACGCACGTCCAAAACGGGACCTGCATTGCAAAAATAATGTGGACCTGCCTAAAATGCATAGATAAAAATGGAATGTCAGCTCACTGTTTTACTCCTCTCAAACTTTATATTTTAATAAAGCTTTGGTGATTCCGATTTATTTAGAAGTGGTCTCAGGAGCCAAACCCTTTACTAAGTGTTGACTACTTCGCGATTGCATTGGGCAGAGAAAAAAAAGGCTTAATTGAGAGGAGGGGAGGCTATGCTTGGTTTTTAATCAAATAAAACAAAATGGGAAAAAACATACGTTTTTTATGTTTCTAAAGTATACAGGCACATTAGGCTACTCTTGTTCCATGCGCATATGGGCAGTGTGCGTCACGGCTGGATAGGCTGCGTTACCGTTAAAACCAGCTTTTGAAGCCCTGAGAGTAAGAATGATTGTACAGTATCAAAAAAAGCTTGAAAAGGTAGTGGAATGGGATTGGTGTGGTGTGTGAAAAATCCAATACTTAACTTTGTATGAAGTACAAATCACATTATTGTGGGAGCACCTCCTCTAAGAGTGTGAATTAGGCTGTTTGAGAAGGTTTAAATATTAAGAAACCTGCATACACATTGTTTGAGGTACAATAGACCAACATAGCTACTGTAGTAGGTCAAAACTGTGTGCTGAGAAACCTTGGTATAGCATGGGTGGAGTAGGCATTGTGGTGCTCATGTGAAATTCCTTTCTTTTTCGGCTTCAGACCAATGCCTACTTCTCACTTAAAATGTAGTTTTTTGTTTTTAATAGATCTTAGAACCATGCTGTGTTATCTCCAACATTAAACATGGCCAATTAACTTGGACACCCAACCGTTTAGAACTCGTAGCACACTTAGCCAGGATTTAGTTTAACGTTAGCTCCATATCTGTAAGGCCTTGCTATGTTAATCTATGCTTGGCTAGCCTACTGAACCCTTTTTCCAGCTGTGATGTCTAAGAGATGAAATATCAGCAGCAGCATCAAATAAACCTGCGACCTTAGAGGCCAGGAGACTCTCATATATATTGCTTATAAAAATAGGTTAAGTGGTCGTACCGGCCGCCACGTGACCCCTGGCCTCATTTCAGCTGAGCTGGGTGGGAAATTTAAACACAGATTAAACTTGACCTTTTCTGTGTCTGACATTTTTTTTGTGACTGTGTGCTGAGCGATCAGAGATCATGCTCTGCTTACCAGCCTAATTCACACTCTTAGAGGAGGTGCTCCCACAATAATGTGATTTGTACTTCATACAAAGTTAAGTATTGGATTTTTCACACACCACACCAATCCCATTCCACTACCTTTTCAAGCTTTTTTTGATACTGTACAATCATTCTTACTCTCAGGGCTTCAAAAGCTGGTTTTAACGGTAACGCAGCCTATCCAGCCGTGACGCACACTGCCCATATGCGCATGGAACAAGAGTAGCCTAATGTGCCTGTATACTTTAGAAACATAAAAAACGTATGTTTTTTCCCATTTTGTTTTATTTGATTAAAAACCAAGCTCTGCTTACCAAATGAGAGACAAACGCGCACTGCTGATGAACGAACCCCACAAAACCAGATATGTCGTCGTGGGGACTTCCTGCTGGAAACAATTTGACCCTAAACACAAACGCATACACACACACACGCACACACTCACACACACACCAACCCCAAACCTTCAAACCAATCAAACTAGAATCAGAGTCAAACTAAATAAACTCCATTCAGACATATTGTAAAGATGACGACAAACCAGAAACCAGATCACCCTGGATCTATTTCAGTGACAATTGTTTTTATAGGAGAGGAGATTGATTTGGAGTCCTGACTGTTGACCCATGGTAGTGTATTACGTTGAGTTATGTCAATATTGAGCTGATGATATTTGAGTCCTGACCACTGTATTAAGAAAGTAGATTGTTCTTGAGTCATCAGCTCTGATCAAAGAAAGAGTGGATTGTTCTGGGGCTGGGACTGTTGATCTAAGGCACTGGATTGTTTGCGGAAACTGGATGCGAGAGAGAAAGAGAGGCGGGAGAGAGAGAGAGAAAAAAAGAGCAAGGGAAGGGTGAGGGAGAGACAGAGAGAGAGAGAGCGAGAGCAAGAGAGAGAGAGAGAGACATAAAAAGAGAAGAATGAGAGCCAGAGAGAAAGGGGGACAGGAAGATAGAGACAGATATGTATTGATTACCTGTAGTACTGTTTCTCCTTGCTGCATGTCAGTGAACACCATAACGCTGTAGGAGACTTCGCCGAAGGTGGGAGTGTTGTCATTGGCGTCAATCACCAGGATGTTGACAGTCACCCGCATGCTCTCCTGTACCCCATCTGATGCCATCATCTATACACAGGACAACAGTGAGAGCAGTAAAAATCCTGCCTTTAGGACAACGCCTGTTTCTAGCTCATTCTCTTCCAGTTTCCTTTTGTGTTACATTTTTTTTAACTTAAGATAAAACAGAGTAAATAGGAACAAATAAAGGGTACATAAAAGGGTAAAGGTTACAACTTTAGTGTTGTGTTGCCGGTCCCCCTGGCTTCATTCACAACACAGATGCTGAGGTTTTCCTCAGGTGGGGTGAAAAACTAAATAAAACATTTGAGACTTAGAAAGGCACACCCTCACACTCATACAAACACACACACACATGCATACACAGACACGTAAACCACATAATAATGGCCGGAACGGAGCAAATGGAATGGCATCAAACTCATGGAAACCATGTGTTTGATGTATTTGATACCATTCCACTATTATGCTCCAGCCATTACCAGAAGCCCATCCTCCCCAATTAAGGTGCCACCAACCTCCTGTGAAGTACACATACACACACAGTAAGCGAGCGCAACCCAGAAGAAAGGACAACCAAACAAAACAGAACCTTTGAATAAAGAACATTAAAGGCATGATTTCAATTGAAATGGGCCATTTATTATCTTACCATTGCCTGCCCATGTCGATATAACACAATTGCTTGATGCTCAACAACTGAAAATTGCAGCAATTTATTTCTTTCAATCTAATGACAATATGGCAACCATCAAAGCCTCTTCAACATAGACATAATAAACATACTATTGATGAAACTCTTCAAAGATAATAGTCTCACATCATTAGTACAGTGTAGTATCACAGCAACAAGTCCATGTACAAACCTTAAAAAATCCAAATCAAATTGTGATGGTCGCCTACACATATTTTGCAGATGTTATCGTGGGTGTAGCTAAATGTTTATGTTCCTAGCTCCAACAGTGCAGTAATACCTAACAATACAAAACAATACATGCAAATCCCCCCCAAAAATTAAGAAATATAGAAATATTAGAACAAGCAATTTCAGACTCCGGAATATAAATCTATATCTACAGTACATGTTATTTGTATTTGTATTTATTACGGATCCCCATTAGCGGCTGCCAAGGCAGCAGCTACTCATCCTGGGGTCCAATCACAATTTACGTATAATAAAACAATACATAACACAACACATTATTACACACTACTCTACCATAACATATTTACAATACAAAATCAATAACACAGCAAAATAACAATATTAAAATGTGTGTGTGTGTAGAGTGCGTGTGTTAGCATGTGTTTGCGAATGCTGTGTGTGCCTATGTGTGTGTGTGTGTGTGTGTGTTTCTCTTCACAGTCCACGCTGTTCCATTAAGTGTAGTTTTATCTGTTTTTTAAATCTGATTTTACTGCTTGACTGAGTTACATGATGTGGAATAGAGTTCCATGTAGTCATGGCTCTATGTAGTACTGTGTGTTTCCCGTAGTCTGTTCTGGACTTGGAGACTGTGAAGAGTGGTGGCATGTCTCGTGGGGTATGCATGGGTGTCCAAACAGACAGCTCGGTACATTCAGCTTGTCAACAAGCAGTGATGAAGTCAATTGCTCTTCCACTCTAAGCCAGGAGAGACTAATGTTAGCACTCCGTGTACTTTTAAGGGCCAGCCGTGCTGCCCTGTTCTGAGCCAACTGCAACATTCCCAAGTCCCTCCTTGTGGCACCTGACCACACTACTGAACAGTAGTCTAGGTGCGACAAAACTAGGCCCTGTAGGACCTACCTTGTTGATAGTGTTGTTAAGAAGGCAGAGCAGCACTTAATTATGGACATACTTCTCCCCATTTTAGCTACTGTTGTATCAATATGCTTTGACCATGACAGTTTATAATCCAGGGTTACTCCAAGCAGTTTGGTCACCTCAACTTGCTCAACATCCACACTATTCATCACGAGATGTAGTTGAGGTTTATGGTTTAGTGAATGATTTGACCCAAATACAATGCTCTTAGTTTTGGAAATATCTATGACTAACCACCCATTCCGAAACTAACTGCAACTCTTTGTTAAGTTTTGCAGTTATTTCATTTGCTGTAGCAGCTGAAGTGTATAGTGTTGAGTCATCCACATACATTGACACACTGACTTTACTCAAGGCCAGTAGCATGTCGTTAGTAAAGATGGAAAAAAGTAAGGGGGGCCTAAACAGCTGCCCTGGGGAATTCCTGATTGTACCTGGATTAAGTTTGAGAGGCTTTCATTAAAGAACACCCTCTGTGTTCTGTTAGACAAGTAACTCTTTATTCACATTATAGCAGGGGGTGTAAAGCCATAACACATACGTTTTTCAGCAGCAGACTATGATCAATAATGTCAAAAGCCCCACTGAAGTCTAACAAAACAGACCCCACAATCTTTATATAATCAATTTCTCAACAGGTCTAAATATATGTGTCATGACAGTTTTATGACCATATTATAACAGGTTATGACAAGTTATGTCAGCTGTTATGACACATTATGACAATGTCATAATGGGGCGGCAGGTAGCTTAATGGTTAAGAGCGTTGTGCCAGTAACCGAAATGTCGCTGGTTCTAATCCCCGAGCCGACTAGGTGAAAAATCTGTCGATGTGCCCTTGAGCAAGGCACTTAACCCTAATTGCTCATGTAAGTCACTCTGGATAAGAGCGTCTGCTAAATGAAAAAAAAAAAAAAATATATATATATATATATATATAATAATAATGTGTTATGATGCTGGGTGTCAAGTAAAGTGTTACCCTATATAGGATGAGCCTTGACTAGAATACAGTATATAATAATAATAATAATAATAATAATAATAATAATAATAATAATAATAATAATAATAATAATAATAATAATATACAGTGCATTCGGAAAGTATTCAAACCCCTTGACCTTTTCCACATTTTGTTACGTTACAGCCTTATTCTAAAATTGATTAAATTGTTTTTCCCCCTCATCAATCTCCACACAATACCCCATAATGACAAATCAAAGCAGGTTTTTAGACTTTTTTGCAAAAAATTAAACATTTACATAAGTATTCAGAGCCTTTACTCAGTACTTTGTTGAAGCACCTTTGGCAGTGATTACAGCCTCGAGTCTTCATGGGTATGACGCTACAAGCTTGGCACACCTGTATTTGGGGAGTTTCTCCCATTCTTCTCTGCAGATAATCTCAAGCTCTGTCAGGTTGGATGGGGAGCGTCGCTGAACGGTTATTTTCATGTCTCTCCAGAGATGTTTGATCGGGTTAAAGTCCGGGCTCTGGCTGGGCCACTCAAGGACATTCAGAGACTTGTCCCGAAGCCACTCCTGTGTTGTCTTGGCTGTGTGCTTAGGGTCCTTGTCCTGTTGGAAGGTGAACCTTCACCTCAGTCTGAGGTCCTGAGTGGTCTGGAGCAGGTTTTCATCAAGGATCTCTCTTTGCTCTGTTCATCTTTCCCTCGATCCTGACTAGTCTCCCAGTCCCTGCCGTTGAAAAACATCCCCACAGCATGATGCTGCCATCACCGTGCTTCACCGTAGGGATGGTGCCAGTTTTCCTCCAGATGTGACGCTTAGCATTAAGGCCAAAGAGTTCAATCTTGGGTTCATCAGACCAGAGAATCTTGTTTTTTATGGTCTGAGAGTCCTTTAGGTGCCTTTTGGCAAGCCCCAAGCGGGCTGTCATGTGCCTTTTACTGAGGAGTGGCTTCCGTCTGGCCACTCTAACAGAAAGGCCTGATTGGTGGAGTGCTGCAGAGATGGTTGTCCTTCTGGAAGGTTCTCCCATCTCCACAGAGGAACTCTGGAGCTCTATCAGAGTGACCATCTGGTTTCTTGGGCATCTCCCTGGCCAAGGCCCTTCTCCCCCGATTGCTCAGTTTGGCCGGGCGGCCAGCTCTAGGAAGAGTCTTGGTGGTTCCAAACTTCTTCCATTTAAGAATGATGGAGGCCACAGTGTTCTTGGGGACCTTCAATGCTACAGAAATTTTTTGGTAGCCTTCCCCAGATCTGTGCCTTGACACTATCCTGTCTCGGACCTCTACGGACAATTCCTTCAACCTCATGGCTTGGTTTTTGCTCTGACATGCACTGTCAACTGTAGGGCCTTATATAGACAGGTGTGTGCCTTTCCAAATCATGTCCAATCATTTTAACTTACCACTCCAATCAAGTTGTAGAAACATCTCAAGAATGATCAATGGAAACAGGATGAACCTGAGCTCAATTTCGAGTCTCATAGCAAAGGGTCTGAATACTTATGTAAAAAAGGTATTTATGTTTTTTCAAAAATGTCTAAAAACCTTTTTTTGCTTTGTCATTATGGGGTATTGTTTGTAGATTGATGAGGGAAATCTTATATGTGGAAAAAGTCAAGGGGTCTGAATACTTTCCGAATGCACTGTATACATATGAAGTGCGTAAAACAGTATGGATTTTTTTTTAAAGTGACCAGTGTACAATGACTTCAGTTGAAGTTGGAAGTTTACGTACACTTAGGTTGGAGTCATTAAAACTTGTTTTTCAACCACTCCAAAATGTCTTGTTAACAGACTATAGTTTTGGCAGGTCGGTTAGGACATCTACTTTGTGCATGACACAAGTAATTCTTTCAACAATTGTTTACAGACAGATTATTTCACTTATAATTCAGTGTATCACAATTCCAGTGGGTCAGAAGTTTACACACACTAAGTTGACTGTGCCTTTAAACAGCTTGGAAAATTCCAGAAAATGATGTCATGGCTTTAGAAGCTTCTGATAGGCTAATTGACATAATTTGAGTCAATTGGAGGTGTACCAGTGGATATATTACAAGGCCTACCTTCAAACTCAGTGCCTCTTTGCTTGACATCATGGGAAATCAAAAGAAATCAGCCAAGACCTCAGAAAAAAACTTGTAGACCTCCACAAGTCTGGTTCATTCTTGGGAGCAATTTCCAAACGCCTAAAGGTACCACGTTCATCTGTACAAACAATAGTACGCAAGTATAAACACCATGGGACCACGCAGCCGTAATACCGCTCAGGAAGGAGACACGTTCTGTCTCCTAGAGATGAACGTACTTTGGTGCGAAAAGTGCAAATCAATCCCAGAACAACAGCAAAGGACCTTGTGAAGATGCTGGAGGAAACAGGTACAAAATAATATATATCCACAGTAAAACTAGTCCTATATCGACATCACCTGAAAGGCTGCTCATCAAGGAAGAAGCCACTGCTCCAAAACAAAGATCGTACTTTTTGGAGAAATGTCCTCTGGTCTGATGAAACAAAACTATAACTTTTTGGCCATAATGACCATCGTTATGTTTGGAGGAAAAAGGGGATTGCTTGCAAGCCGAAGAACACCATCCCAACTGTGAAGCACGGGGGTGGCAGCATCATGCTATGGGGGTGCTTTGCTGCAGGAGGGACTGGTTCACTTCACAAAATAGATGGCATCATGAGAAAGGAAAATTATGTGGATATATTGAAGCAACATCTCAAGACATCAGTCAGGAAGTTAAAGCTTGGTCGCAAATGGTTCTTCCAAATGGACAATGACCACGAGCATACTTCCAAAGTCGTGGCAAAATGGCTTAAGGACAACAAAGTCAAGGTATTGGAGTGGCCATCACAAAGCCCTGACCTCAATCCTATAGAAAATGTGTGGGCAGAACTGAAAAAGCGTGTGCGAGCAAGGAGGCCTACAAACCTGACTCAGTTACACCAGCTCTGTCAGGAGGAATGGGCCAAAATTCATCCAACTTATTGTGGGAAGCTTGTGAAAGGCTACCCGAAATGTTTGACCCAAGTTAAACAATTTAAAGGCAATGCTACCAAATACTAATTGAGTGTATGTAAACTTCTGGCCCACTGGGAATGTGATGAAAGAAATAAAAGCTGAAATAAATAATTCTCTGTCACGCCCTGGCTCTGGGGACTCTTAATTGTTGAGCCAGGGTGTGGATTTTCTATGTTTTGTTTGCTATGGTTTTCATTCTAGATCGGTTAGATCTATGTTGGCCAGGGTGGTTCCCAATCAGAGGCAGCTGTAGCTCGTTGTCTCTGATTGGGAACCATACTTAGGCAGCCTGTTTTCACTAGTCATGGTGGGATCTTGTTCCGAAAGGTTTGTGTTAACCTAGGACTTCACGTTTCGTTTGTTGTTTTATTCGTGTGGTGTACTTCAATAAAAGATGTACGTTTATCACGCTGCACCTTGGTCCGCTTCATCTATCGACGATCGTGACATTCTCTCTACTATAATTCTGACATTTCACATTCTTAAAATAAAGTGGTGATCCTAACTGACCTAAGGCAGGGCATTTTTACTAGGATGAAATGTCAGGAATTGTGAAAAACTGAGTTTAAATGTATTTGGCTAAGGTGTAAACTTTCGACTTCAACTGTATGTACATAGGACAGCAGTCTCTAAGGTGCAGGGTTGAGTACCGGGTGGTAGCCGGCAAAGTAAACGTGACTCAAGTTCAAGGCAGGGTACTGGGCAGAAGCTGGCTGGTGGTGACTATTTAACAGTCTGATGGCCTGGACATAGAAGCTGTTTTTCAGTCTCTCGGGTCCCATTTTTGATGCACCTGTAACCGCCTTCTAGATGGTAGCGGGGTGAACAGGCCATGGTTCGGGTGTCTGAGGTCCTTGACACACACACACACAACTACAACCGCCATCACGGGTGTACACGGCGACCTCTGATTGTGAGATCCAAAAGAGCTAACTTCATCTCCAAAGCTTCTTCTGAAGATCACAGATGCAGATAATGAAAACAGACTAGTATCCTACCACCTCTAACACCTCTATCCCCCAAACCCTCCCACTTTCTCTTTTGTATAATCAACATTTTTTCTCCAGGAAACACTCCCTCAATATTGAAATAATGATGCTTTTTTTACATTTAAATTTACTTGTACCCCTTTTTCTCCCCAATTGGTAGTTACAGTCTTGTCCCATCGCTGCAACTCCCCTACGGACGTGGGAGAGGTGAAGGTCGAGAGCCATGCATCCTCCGAAACACGACCCTGCCAAGCCGCACTGCTTACTTAACCCGGAAGCCAGCCGCACCAATGTGTCAGATGAAACACCATCCAGCTGGTGACCGAAGTCAGCTTGTAGGCGCCTGGCCCGCCACAAGGAGTCGCTAGAGCGCGATGGGTCAAGGAAATCCCGGCCGGCCAAACCCTCCCCTTACCCAGACGACGCTAGGCCAATTATGCGCCGCCTCATGGGTCTCCCGATCACGGCCGGCTGTGACACAGCCTGGGATTGAACCCGGGTCTATAGTGACGCCTCAAGCAATGCGATGCAGTCCCTTAGACCGTTGCGCCACTCAGGAGGCCATAATGATCCTTTCTAATATGTAACCATCCCACAGGGAGAGTACACACGTGTAGATGCTTAAAGCACTGGGGGGCTCTTCAGGGAATACTCAGGGTCTTAATATCAAAGAGTACAGTAGCACTATACATGTAATTGCATGCTTTTAATACAGAGAACACAATTAAGTCTCTGAATAATGTAAGATAGAATCACTTCATTGCGAAGATGCTGGAGATCACAGCGTGTCAAAATACAGCAGGAGCCAACAGTGGCAGTGTGTTTCTGTCCAGAAGGAAAGGGATGCATCTGGTATTGGTTGGGTCTTGGAAAGCTACTGTAGGTCAGAAAACAGGTGATTTTGAATAAATATCTGATAATAATGGTGTAAAGCAGTAATGTCCTGGCCAAGTCATTTCATCTCTTCAATAGAGGCATAGGTGTAGATAAATCAAACTGCTACAATGTAAGTTCAGTTCAATTGTATTGACTGAGTTGAAAAATAAATTGACCCCGTAGGCAGTGTAGTTAAGTCAAGTCATATCATACAGCATAACCCAAGCTGTTATATCTTTTAGACGTGGGTGCTGTTTCCTCCCATATACTGTATTAGAGTTGTGGGTGTTATTTGGTAATATGTGTGGATGTGGTTGGACCTAGGCGTACCGTGAAGGTGTAGGTCATCTGCTTCTCTCTGTCCACAGGTTTGAGCAGTCGGAGGTAGCGGGTGATCCCGGTCGGGGTTATGGCAAAGATGGTGCTGAAGTCGTCCAGAGTCACCGTCACGAGAGGGTCTTTGCTCTTCAAAAAGTAAAGACATTGGAGAGAAGAGGTTACCATGGTGACAAGACCTTACTCAAGTCCGCAGCTGTGTCACTGACGAAAAACAATTATGAGAGACAGAACAAGACAAAACATGTCGGAGTGGTAAAAGCCTGCTGACAAAGACAACATAGTACTGAGAACAGGGGAAGGCCTTGAATAAATTCTAAGAAATCATGTGATTTTATACCTCCTATAGAGCACACTACAATTGTACAGTAGGTGTTTCATTGTGGCTCTGTTCACAAGCTACAGCATCGATTTACGAAAACCTAGGCGTTTGTCGGCATACTGTACTATATAGTCGAGACATTTGAAAGTAGAAAATCGTTTTTTCATGTGTCTTAATAACAAAGTCGTATGCGATCTGTAAATATGAATATAAAATGGAGTATGGAGTAATTTGCCCTAAAAGTGAGGACCATATCTAAAAACATTTCAATACTGTTTTACAACTTCCCCCCAAAATCGTTTTCTTCTCTGGGTTATGTTGGTGCAAGGGATATTTAAGTAGGGTTGGGTGTTAGGGTGATTCAAGTTTGTCAATGAGGCCTGCCTGTCTACTAAACATTCACACTGCTTTGCCCATTGATCTGTTTTAGAACTGCACTTTGATGTCTTAATCTCACCCTGCTGAAGGAGAGAGAGAGAGAGAGAGAGAGAGAGAAAGCGAGAGAGCGAGAGAGTGAGAGCGAGAGCGCAAGAGTGAGAGAGCGAGAGAGATAGAAAGAGAAACACAGATACAGACAGACACACATTAGAGAAAGAGAGAGACAGAGAAACACAAAGAGAGAGGCACAGTAAGAAAAGATGGAGAGGGAAAGTGAGTTGGAGAAATCTCTGTGGAGGAGTTTGTGTTAGGTGTCATCTGAGGAAATGAATAAAACAATATTTTCAACATCATCAACATAAAGATAAATATCCTGGTGACAAAAACACAAACAGAGTGGGGGCGAATGCTGCTGTGCGTCTGTGTTCTGAGTGTCTCCTGGTGTGTTGGCAGCCTGTCTCAATGTGTGTTTTCAACCATTTAAATGCAGTTGAGGCGTTTAGAAAACCCACTCCTGTCAGCGCCTGTTTGAAATTGTGTGCTTTTCAGAATCATCACCTCAACAACACACACACAAACACTGAATGTACTAAATGTATCGGTGCGATCTGTGTATTTACCCACTAACAACATAAAAATGTTTTACTTGACCAGAACAATAGGCACACATGGCAAAACACAAACACATTAGACATTTTGTATGAAAAATTGGAAGGGAAAACTGAGTCACACATCTGAAAGAACTGAAAGAGAGCATGCCCCAGAGGTTTGAACACAGACCATGCAGTAGTGTAAAACCCAAAGGCACACTTTTAGTCATAACAGCATCACAAACCACACTTTTACCTACAGGTGTTTGACCAGGCAGCAGCTAAAACAAAGAGACAAAGCAGCAACAATGATAATACAGTGTGATGGAGGGTGTTTACCCATCTCAACATGGGCTTATGGAAGTATTTTTATTAACATAAACCTGCTATAAAATGTAAATATTTAATTGTCTTATGTATTCATTACATTATGTGTGTGTCTGTGAAAAGCCCACTATAGGCTTCAAATTCTGTATGGAATTCAATTAATTAAAAAGGTTAACATGTACAATTAGTTGCTTGTGTGTAAGCATGCCAGCTAATTTGTGTGTGTATTTGTGTGCGCTCGTAGTATTGTGTATTTGCAGGTTCATAAGCGACATGTTTGTGCTCGTGAGAGTGTGCGCTTCTGTGAGTGTGCGTCTGTGTGTGCACGCGCACATCCCCATACCTCTTCAATGTCTTTGTCCAGGGCGATGATGCCCAAGGGGGCAGTGAGGTTGGAGCTGGCAGAGATGGTGGTGCCCACTGGGGAGGACTCACTGACGTAGCCCTGGTAGGACTGGAACTGGAAGTATGGAGCCTGGTTGTTCTCATCCAGGACATCAATGATCAGCTCAGCGTATGCTGGGAGTGGGTGGCCGTTGTCCTGCTCAGCCTAAAAGAAGGAGAAAAGTGTATATTTATAATGAACCTCACTGTAACATGTACTGAAATGCAACTTACAACATACATGGAACATACAATCATAAGGGGGTTATAGCTCATTGGAAACATTATTATGACAGACTGACTATTTTCTGTAACACCTGCTGCAGATCAGTAAACAAAGCTAAACCAATTTGATTGCCACATATTAAACCATTTACAAGGACTCAATGTCATAATTGTAATGACAAACTTCTGCTCGTCAGTGTCGTTACCAAGGGAATAGAAATGCAGAAGGCATTGTTTCCGAAAGACTGTCATTTCAATTACATAAAGCATTGGCAAATTAATCACACGTCCACTTTGGATTAGACTCCAGTAATTGGTAAGAAACTTAACACAAATGCTTTAATCTGGGACGGATGGACGCTAATTAAAATGGTTAACTACCAGTTCAGTTTCTGTTTTGAATGCAGTCCCCTGTAGCTCTGTTGGTAGAGCATGGCGCTTGCAACACCAGGGTTGTGGGTTCGTTTGTATGCACTCACAACTGTAAGTCGTTCTGGATAAGAGCGTCTGCTAAATGACGTAAATGTAAATTAATACTGCATACTTTATTGTTTACATCAGGGGTGGCCAACCCTCTTCCTGTGTGCAGACGTTTGCTCCAGCCCTATTCTAACACACCTGATTAAAGCTAATCAAGGTCCTGATGAACAGCTGATTGGTAGAATCAGGTGTGTCCAGTGACGTGTATTCATGGATGCCAAGGGAAGCCAGGCTTTCCCATAAATTTGACCGATAATAATAATATTAATAATTTTAAAATATCTTCGTCTCTCTGTGTTTTCATAACTTTCATAACATTTGCAAGTGGCTGAATCTATCTCACCGGAGGAATCATCTGAGCGAGGGAAACAGCGCCCATCTGTTTCAGTATGTGTAACCCATGTAGCTGATGCTGTCTGGCCAAAGAGAGTATGACATGTTGACAATTATTATTATGGCGATTCCGATTTAACCATAAATTCATACATTGTGCCACTGGCCTGAGAGGATTGAAGTACAATACGTAGCATAGATGTAGTAGGCTCACATTAACTAGCTAGCCAACTTAGCTGGTTCATTGTTGCCCATGCGAGATAGTTAGGCTAGCAAGCATTTTAGCCTGGTAGCCTATAGTCTAGGACCCAAAAAAATTTTGTACTACTGTTTGACAGAGTCGTAGACCGTTTTGGAAGAAGGGAGGATGACATTGACGTTCATCTAGTCTGGGTGAGTCAACATGTTTTTTCTACTTGCACAGATGCACGCACTCGCACACACACACACACACACACGCACAGAAATCTAATCAGCAACATGGACAGCCACATGATATTTAGCAACGTTGACTGGTCTAAATTGTTTGTGGTATCTTGATTTGATGATGTTGAACTGTTTAAGTTGAAATGCTGCTGGAATAGCGGAGAAAGTGCTCCGGTTTTCTTTGTGCTGACTTGGGATAACTCGCCGTGTTTCTAAATCAGTAGTTGTTTAGTAAACAGTTGGAAATATTAACTTGCTGCAGGTCATGTAACTGTTTGTTACATGGAATATTTGCTTTGTGGACTTCACCGGACAGATGTTGCTCTCTGGTTTTGTGATGAAACAAACGTATGTGTGGTTGATTTATTCCACCACTGTTTGACTGTTCTCTTTTTGTTGTCACGGCCTTATTGTATATCATGGTGGCCTATGAACGAACGGGTTATAGAGCAAACATAGCACTTATCACAACATAGGTTGTAATATGGCTTTATTCCTGGCTTGGCTTCCCCAGTGATTTTACCCACGCACAGCTACTGGGTGTGTTTGAGCTAGGCTGAAGCAAAAGCCTGCAGCTCTCTTAAATGTGCCTTCTCATGCTGCTCACCATGGAAACCAGTTCAATGGATAAGTGCATTCAAATCATGTTATTTTGTAATGTGGATCCTTGCTGTTAAACCTAGCTATTGACAAGCATTTACAGCAATCAAACAAGTTATCTAAATGTCAGCATTCGTGTTTGCTTGAGGCAATCATCAAACTGTGTGCACATTCAATGCACCATTCAACACCCTATTAGACAATTCTGACAAAGACCAGGACATGTTCAAACATTGTCTTTTTGGGGGGACATAAATAACCTTCTTAATTTAACCTAGCAGTTAAGAGATCATCACTGTACTGTGTACACATATTTGGACTAAACATTTTTCAAACCATGTTGGTGTCTTGTGTAATGGACAGTGTATAATATGATACTGTAACCAATCTATGAGACACAAACACAGGGGCGTACATGTTACTTCCATCGTTTTAGGATTTATTGCAGCACAGTTGCTGGGGGAAATGACTACAGTAACAGGCCACATTAGCACGCATCAATATGCATGTCCCTTCAGCCAGTCAACCATTCAACCTCTCACAGCAAGTATCACATATTCTTTAGTGATAGTTACACTGTAACGTAACATGCATGTGAAACTATATCCTAGCATGGATGACAAGCCACCGATTGATGGCAGTCATGCAGTCAGACCACCATAATTTCTCATCAACATATATTTCACAATTACTTTATTTTTACATTTTAGTCATTTAGCAGACGCTCTTATTCAGAGCGACTTACAGTTAGTGAGTGCATACATTTATTTTATTTTATTTATTTTTTTCATACTGGAATCGAACCTACAACCCTGGCGTTGCAAATGCCATGCTCTACCAACTGAGCTACATCCCTGCCGGCCATTCCCTCCCCTACCCTGGTTGACGCTGGGCCAATTGTGCGCCGCCCATGGGTCTCCCGGTCGCGGCCGGCTACGACAGAGCCTGGATTCGAACCAGGATCTCTAGTGGCCACTGCGCCACTAAGGCAGTTCGTACACTCATGTTGTTTCATTGCAAGTGAACCTGGTGAGGAGGAGAGGATGAGAGGAGTAGAGGAAGGGAGGAGGAGAGGATGAGAGGAGTAGAGGAAGGGAGGAGGAGAGGATGAGAGGAGTAGAGGAAGGGAGGAGGAGAGGATGAGAGGAGTAGAGGAAGGGAGGAGGAGAGGATGAGAGGAGTAGAGGAAGGGAGGAGGAGAGGATGAGAGGAGTAGAGGAAGGGAGGAGGAGAGGATGAGAGGAGTAGAGGAAGGGAGGAGGGGAGGCAGAGAGGAGTAGAGGAAGGGAGGAGGAGACGATGAGAGGAGTAGAGGAAGGGAGGAGGAGAGAATGAGAGGAGTAGAGGAAGGGAGGAGGGGAGGCAGAGAGGCGCAACATCAGTTAAAGCTGTGACCTGAATACTATGATAGGTGGTATATCACTGAAAGGCACTGAATCCAAATCCTTAGGGAACCTCCTGACCCACCACACTAGTATGTACTGTAGATTTTCTGTAGTCTGAAGATTCGAATAAGAGATGACAGTAACCACATTTTCATCCACAGTTTCTAAGCGAGTAAAGTCATACCGCATAAAAAAAAATTGCGCCAGCTGTGTTGGAAACAGGAAGTTTCTGTATAATTTTATAAATGCCGACGTCAGTGTTCGTTCGACATGGTGGGATCTTTTTGTTTCGATAAAATGTATTATGCGAGAAATGGCGGTGGAAACGCCTTTATGTGCAAGCAACCATCATATCGAAGTAAACTTGGAGTCACACGATGGCATGGTGTGTGGTCCTCCCACTACGACTCGGGAGACCATGCAGTTTATTAGGCTACAGATGAAATAAGTTACGATGAACTTCACAGGGTGGTGAAAGCGCTCCTATCTTCATGCTCCTATCTTGATGCTCCAAAAAATATTGACTGTCTCATCATGTAGACTAGTCTACCTGCACAGCCTACCCGTACTGTATATGCGAGCTGTTGGCTAGAGCGCATGTGCCAAGTCCAAATTAGGCACATTTGCTATTTATTAACACAACAGTTTTTGTGACAAAACTATCGGTAGAGTTTAAAATGTGAAGGAAACCCATTGAACTTTCAATTTTTATTCTGTACGTGAAAACTTAAGCGAAAAAGTAAATGTTGTGTGCACTACGTCATCACGCATTGACTTTTATCCACAACAAGTCCATTTAGTGGAAACACACCACTGGTGCAGATTTTAGAATATTCGCATAAAATCTGTCGCCAACCTAGCTACTGACAAGAAAATACGTTCTTTAAAACATCCTCCCTGTCTTCTTTTTAAGGTCGGAGTACCTGTGCACTCAAACATATAGTAAGTCTTTTGAATTGAATCTATTGCAGGTATATTGAGCATAAAATAGAAGAAGATATCCCTGCATATTGCTTGCTTGCCAACTTTCACTTTTGGAGTGCTGCCTTATCTGTCCATCTTTCTCAAGACTGTGTTCTCATATCCTCCTGCTGCCCAGCTTGAAGAGCACTCCTTCCATGTCCACCACCACCAATTTATCTGTCCATCTTTACTGTGTCCATCTTCTGTGACCACCTCCACCTCCTGCCCATCTCAGACTGATGAGATTGGACAACCATCGACCCACCACCCACTTCTACCCTGTGGTTTCTCCCTAGGATCTAATCTACTCTCAGGAACACCTGAAGGAAAATGCTTTTAGAAAGAGGAGATGGGGAGAGAGGCAGAGAGAGAACGCGTTAGGCAGATAGAGAGAGAGTAGGAGGAAAAGGAGGATGAAGTGTGTTCCCTTGTGGTTTGTCTCTTTAGTAATGTCCCTGTTTCTGGGAGGCAGTGGTAAATTACCTGTGTTCCGCTGCTAGAACACACCAGGCTGCAGGAAACTCTCTGCCACCTACAGTCACTGTTTATCACTCAATCTTCATTGGCCCCCCACGTCTCTCGCTCCCCCCCCCCCCCCCTCCAATCCCACCTCGCTCTCTTTTTCTCTGGGGGGGGGTTCTCTCCCCCTCCTCTGTATTGATCTGACTATTGTCTCCCCCTCTTTCCCCATCCATCCATCTTTATTTTTCATTTTTGTCCTAGCCACCCTCTGAGAGAAAATGGCTTTTTCCAA